ATATATATATGTATATAGCCTATGTATATCAATTCAACAATCAATAGGCTAATTTCTTAAACGTTTTTTATTTAAGAAACAGTTTACGTGACTAAATGTCGCTCATAGGATTTTCAAGCGCCACATCCTTTCTAATCTGAAGCGTTTCACTGACAATCCTTTTTCAACTGTTTCGCATTTCCTCTCGCATCAGTCTACGTCATAATGACTCTACCATTCCGAGAGCCGGATGGGTCGATGAATGAAGTTTTTTTTGAAAAAATAATGCAATAATTTTGTTAATTAAGAATCAGTTTTGAACATGAAACCACGTGATTTAAATACTTACTACGCTGAACAACTAGTCGCTGCTGGTGGTGTTTCTTCATTGTTTGCTACCAGCAGTATTAACCATTCGGCATGAGAACACTAGCGTGAGTTTACACTTTGCATTTGTAAGAAAAATTTCGCACCTTAAAACATTTGTTCGTTCTTTTTGAATTCGTTTGTTCAAGTTATTCATTAGTTTGTCATGAAATTTCAGGAATAATTAAATCTCTTTTCCTTCTCCCAGCCGTGAATTTCGATTATATTAAAACAAAATGAGAAGAGCATTGTAAACAACGTACTAACCTCTCCAAATCTAGCTATTACTAGCGAGCAACACACTCAAATCCCTACAATGTGTTTGAATCATCCAATCGAATCATTAATGCTGATCATAAACCATTTTGTACCACAGAGTAAATCAATTAATAATTTCATTCTTCAAAAGCAATCATTTCTCACTTCTATTTGTTCATTCCATCTGTTTGTGTTGCTTACTCCTTACCACGTACACTGACAATACGAATCTTTCTTCTTCAGAGCACCTTTTCCACAGCTAAATGAAGAATTTTTCTCAAGAAAAATCCTTTCTTATATGTAAATTTGCTCCTGCTTTTCAGTTTCAACATCTCTTTTTTATTCTATGCACGGAAAAAACAAACTATATCACATCCACGTCATCAGAAAGCATTTCCTAATGGCCACAAACAAACATGGAACACGTATATGTATGTGTTCGTGCACTTACACTTGCAAAGCTAAACATATAAATTTTTTCTAAGATATAAATTCATTAATATGTCTCGTCTCTTACATTTATAGTAATACTTATTATAATTTAATATTTAAAATACAACATATTTATTACTTCACATTTTACTATACATTACTAGTAATATTTATACGTATTACTAATTTCATAAGTACTTTATAAAACAAGCGATGTTTACATAACCGTTTCTTGTGCGTCGCTAAGCAACTATTACTTCTTCTTGATGGCTATTCGTACCTTGCTTTTTTCATGAATGATTTTCAAAGTGTAAGCAGCAGTTGCCAAGAAATGTTGTCATATCAAAAAATAAACGAATCAAAAGTGAACATATGAAAAGTACTTGAAAGCGACACGAACCAATTAATGAATGCTACGAATGAATTCATAAACGAACATGCATAAGTCTGTTCTGAAAAAAAAAAACGATCAGAAGTTTCTTCTTTTTGTTCTGAAACTTCACCAGCCAGTTGTTTGTGTTTAACCACAAAAGGTTGCCAGAGATTATTACCAACCAATAATACTGTAATGACTCCAGATGGGTCCTCGAGATATCACATTCTATATGTGAGGATGTGCTGAGCTCATATTATTATGATGGGTAGTTTCTTATATGAGAAAGGAATGAGGATATTAAATTTAAGTTCAATAGTTCTTGCTAGAGAAATTTCATTATCACTTATTGATTATTCATTCTGGAGAATTTTTGATGAAGACTTGGCTTATACAAAGCTGTCACCGCAGATCAAAATGCGGGTTGAGTATGGTTGCGGTATACATCCGCCACATGGAGTTCGTCCATTGAATGTGCACTTTTTTTTGCTATTATTACTTGAGAAATGCTGCTTTTATAGCCCTTTTGAGTTGATCTCGTTCCCACAATACCCTTCGATTTTTATTTCGAAATCGGCGATCTCCTCATCAGAGTGCCAATTTATAAGTGCCGTTCGTACAAAGCAATCTGCACACTATTTTAGTTCTGGTCATCTTATCAGATACTCATAGGCTTCCCATCGTAGCGATGCTAACCTTTACTAGAAATCTACTGAGAATTGACTGATGATTGTCACATGCCTCGCATAAACAAAAAGTAAACTCAAAATGAAATTGAATAAGTGTTTTTTTGCAAAAAATTATCTCTAATTGAAATTGTTCCATATGTGATGAAATTGCACAAAGTGTTGTTAATCTGAAGAACTGCTCGAATCATTAAACGAAAAAATTGTTGATTTTTGTTAACGGAAATATGCAAATAATTATTTGCACAAATTTCTTCACTGAACTGCTCATCGCCTCTCAATAGTGCATTGTAGTCAATTTCATTTTTTATACCAGCTAAACGGCAGCTGTTTTCAGCAACAACAATAGCGATCTTATGAACAAACATTAAATCGGATATCGAAAAGAATTTGATAATTTTTTGCATTTCTTCAACCCGAAAAGATATTCTTTCTCAGTAAGGCTACGAATGAAGCTTGCTGTTAACACAGAGAGAATGCTACTTGTTGACTTAGGGAGAATGGAGAACGGAAATTAAACAAGCCAATAAAACAACGATGAATCGTGTACTTTGGACAAGAATAGATAATACACTTCAACACATTTAATGCTTACGCTTACTTACTTGATAGCAAAAATCAACATTCAGACTAATGGTATTCCTGTCCCCTTTCTGTTTCTGTTCTATTGTTATTTTATCCTAGCAGAATAGAGCAGAACAGCTTTAAATTTGAAGGTGAAGAAACAGTTTAACAGTAGATGGAACAGAATAGCTTCGGAATTGTGTGCTGAACTACTTCGAAAACGATAGTAAAGAGCAGAACAGGACGGAACAGTTGGGAGAGTAGAACAGAACAGAACAGAGAGATCACTAATCCAAACGTCATCTGTTCACCTGCATACATACAGCAATGCCAAATCAGAATCACAAGTAAGGATGCATTAGTGGATCAATTAAGCAATGCACCCTTCTCGTTACTTAGTTCACGCTACCGGTAACACCATTTCCATTACCATACGTAGAATTGTTCCAAATTACATCTATAGACTGACTGCTAGACTGATTCGAATGCATATTTTAGAAGTGACAAATTCATCAACAATTCACTAACTGAACACATCAAATTAATGAACACAACTGAGCAGCCATCAACAAGCGTGGTGATGATAATAAGTTGAGAGGAAGATCTTCCATATAATGCCAATAAATTAGGGCTAGAAACGGGGGGGGGGGGGGGGGGGGGGGGTGAAAAAGCTACCAGGCTTCCCCATCAAAATCTGGTCTCAGAGTCTTGTTTCACGTGATCCCCCGTCAGATCAGCCTCTGCACGATGGGACGAAATCCATCACCCAAAAATTAAACTCAGTTCCTGCCCCTGGAATAAACTAAAACCAAGCAGTGATTTGAATATTTCGATGTATTTTCATCTCTGAATGCATTTTGCTCAGCTTTGTTCCGATCATCCGCAATGTAATTAAATTAACTTGCCGATTCCATCGTGATTTCTTGAATGTTACCAAATATGTGAGTGGGCAATTGTAAACATTTGAATATTTCAGACGTTTGGAATCTCTTTTGAATGTGCACCCAGAAAAGTATCGTAGCCGTTATAATCGGCCAACAACCAGATCGACCACATCACTTCAAAACGTATGCGATCGACATAAACGCTCACGTTCGCTTGATTATTTGTAAGAGTAATTCGTATCAGTTTGGCTGTGTGCATTCAAACGCATAATAATAATAATAAATAATAATAATAAATAATAATAATA